TGTCATCCATCGGACTAGGTTACATTGTGGAACGCAGCCAAACAGGACACTGAAGGCAACAGCTTATCAATCTTGATCTTAGCCAAATCTTTGGAAATTTAGATCGTCCATTTTGCAAGCTCACGTGACTGACACGTGACACGTGTCTGATCACGTGACTAGTTACTGTATCGATCATGTGACTCAATGATGTGTCAATGACGAGTCACCCAACCATGTCTTCAAGGAAAACGGTAGTAAATATTTTGGAAAATGTTTTGCGAGCATTTGCTACTGATTATAGAAGAGGACACGCCGAGATAAGAATGTCAAACATTGTAGGGAGGGCTGCTAAAGTCACTGGGTATTCCCAATCAATTGTATTTTTAGTCTGCTTATTGATCTATTGATTCATACAGACCTGAAATGATGCATTCAAATAAGACCGCCCACTTAAATGAAAACACTACACATAAAGTGGTGAAAAACAACGAACTAAAGTTGAAAGATCGCAACGTTCGCTACTTTGTTCAATTCCGGAAATCTCCAAGGGGCTACAAATGGGAAATTATTTAGATTTAGATTTTATAACCTCAGAATACTGGCTTCATTGGCTGCGTTCCACGATGTAACCTAGTCCGATGGATGACATAGAACAAGCCGGTAAGTAGACACGTGGTTACATCACATTCTTTTGTTATTTTGACCATATGAACTGATTCCCAGAATTAAAAAAAATGACTGTAGGTGGTACTTAGTACAACCCCTAGACTGTATCCTTCGTCTGAATAAATATTCAGACTGTAAGTCACCTATTGTAAAATGTGGTGTTGTATAAATGTTACAAATAAGTTTGTTTAATGATAAAATGATTACCTTATAAAGAACTTACAATATTATTTATTTATATATTGTCCTCTTACTGAAGATATCCATAAAATGTACAGACGCTTCTTGTAGCGAAGCCATTGATTAGGTCAAGCCATTTTGGCAATGCCAATTCTCACGATAAACGAGATTTAGCCAGTGACGTCAGTCTATTTGTAAACAAATAACACGTGGAGCGGACGGAGCAACATTACGGAAGCGTATTGCTAAATTCCATTTGTGCGGGAATTTATTAGATCTAGTCATTTATTATCATTATCCCGATTAATTTTCTTCATTTATAGTAAATAGAGCGGAAATATTCATGAAGAAGGCCGAGGTAATCAAGTGGTCATGTGTTGTCAAAGTTCAAAATTTGCATATCTCGTTTGGATCTCGTGAACTCAAAAACGTCCTTGACATTGATTTCACGATCTACTTATGAACACATCCTGAAGTTTTGGTGAGTCTGAACATTTCATTATTTTATATCAACTTGTGCCTTATACAAATATTTTTGCTTCTAGTTTAAGATGAACATCTCTTCAACATATTCACCAATTTTCAAGGTGAACATTCTTATAATAAACGAAAAATTAATGTGCAAAAAATATCACCGCGATTTCCACAGGAAATATATCAATCATAACAGACCGAATATTATATTCGGTCTGTTGGATACATACTAGTACAACCCCTAAGATCTAGAGTCAGTACGTCTATTTCCAAACACCCCCATCAAAAAATGTAGTTAGCTTGGCTGTACTGCACATCTATGCTATGATTCTATATATATTATGTGTATTATCTTACTTCGGTCCAAAGCCTTCTCTATATTCCGGCTTTGAGGAGGAAGATTGAGCTGCCTTAGTATTATAAATATTGTAAATCATTGTGTCACACGCACAGTAAATATGGCATAATAATATGAAATATACCTTTATGTATATATTTGAAGAACATCAGCTCACATCCCCGTCTGAATCTATTGTTATATTTGATTTCTTTAAGCGAGAATAATTTCAAATGTTATTCACGTCCAGAACCGGAAGCCATTTTTAGCTACAGCGAGAAGATTTCACCATGTGTCAAAACTCCGAAATGAAATTTTGAAATATCTAAATCCAGACAAGCAACGCTTCATCCTAAATATGATTAATATTCTTAAAAATATTTATAAAATTTATTAAAAATGAGTTCTAGGTGCGTGTAGCACAGTACATACGAAATCAATGAAGTTTCGTCTAGCTGTAAGCTAAAGACTCGAGTAAGTATTATCCACTGTAGAATGCATTTGCAGAAAAAATTACGAAAAATTGTAAAAAATATCTGGGTTATTCCATTTTTACTACAAGGTATTTTAGGGGGGTAATTCCGAACAGGAGTTTTTTGGGGGGGTATTTGCCGTACACTTGCATGGGGGTAATTCCAAACACTTAACTTAAACTTAATTGTTTTAATTATTAGATTGATGGTATATCATTATATGATACCCTTAACTTATGATACTTGATCCTGTCACCCCTGCATATCAAGAAACCCAAATTTAAATCATTTATTACTGAAATCTATTTATTTAAACGCACAGAGTTTGTGGGGGTAATTCCAAACACTAGCATGGGGGTAATTCCGAACACCTAAATCATCATAATTGATTATTTTATTGTAAGATTGTTGGTATACATCATTATATTGTATCTTTCAGGCTATAAATATTATGTAGAGGTAGTAGAGGTACTATTATTCAATTCAATGATCTGCTTGCCATTATTTGGAACCCGTTCATGTTTACCCCCCTGTTTGGATTTGGACGTATTGACTCTACAAAAAAAAAGTTGGGGACAAAAATAAATGACAGGTCGATTTTCGATCACCATTTCCTAATTATGGTGGTCTGAAAGCCCATAATTTCCAATATTGTCTAGATACATATCCCTTAAAATTTGTATATTTTACATTTTGTATAATCGCATCCACTGATTGATGGCCTCTTGTAAATTCTCTTATTTTTAACATGGGAAATCCTCACTTCAGCAAATAGACTGTATCCTTCGTCTGAATAAATATTCAGACTGTAAGTCACCTATTGTAAAATGTGGTGTTGTATAAATGTTACAAATAAGTTTGTTTAATGATAGAATGATTACCTTATAAAGAACTCACAATATTATTTTTTCGTATATTGTCCTCTTACTGAAGATATTCATAGAATGTACAGACGCTTCTTGTAGCGAAGCCATTGATTAGGTCAAGCCATTTTGGCAATGCCAATTCTCACGATAAACGAGATTTAGCCAGTGACGTCAGTCTATTTGTGAACAAATAACACGTGGAGCGGGAGCAACATTACGGAAGCGTATTGCTAAATTCCATTTGTGCGGGAATTTATTAGATCTAGTCATTTATTATCATTATCCCGATTAATTTTCTTCATTTATAGTAAATAGAGCGGAAATATTCATGAAGAAGGCCGAGGTAATCAAGTGGTCATGTGTTGTCAAAGTTCAAAATTTGCATATCTCGTTTGGATCTCGTGAACTCAAACGTCCTTGACATTGATTTCGCGATCTACTTATGAACACATCCTGAAGTTTCGGTGAGTCTGAACATTTCATTATTTTATATCAACTTGTACCCGCCTTATACAAATATTTTTGCTTCTAGTTTAAGATGAACATCTCTTCAACATATTCACTAGTCAAGTGAACTCGACTTAATGTTGTTGTTTCACGTTTCTTTTTGACGATTTGGATATTTGTTTTTTATTTTTGTTTTCAACATTTGCGTCGAGGATATTAAGCCCTGTATATTGCGGTAAATGCTTTTCTGCCCTCTATGCTCAACAAAAGTTACACAGATAAGATAATGGATCCAATGCTTCAACTAGAATGTATTAACTCTTACCTTAAACACAGGAAATACTTGATAATTGAAGAAATGTAATCATTTTCGTATATGTTTGAACCAATTTCCAATATGGTTCTCAAGGTCACTCAAGGTCACTGAATACTGTCTAAATGTGAAACCATGCAACCAAAACGAAATCGTAATTATTTATTACCAACATATCTGTTTTCGGTTTCTTCACCCTCCTTGGTGTCTGAGAAGGCGATTCAATTGTCATAAGACGATGATAAACTTTCGAGTTGAAATCTCGATCTCAATATGGCTGCTGTTATTTATTGTAATTTCGTTTTTCGCTTCACCTAGAGTTTTACTTTTACACAATCATTACCCAGAATGCATCTACACATGGGGGAAAAAAATTTTTCCAGAAAAATTCTTATACTTCTTCAATTATCAAGCGTTTGACGTGTGTAAGGTAGGATTAAATACATTATCGATGAAGAGCATATTCTAATACATAATTTGTGTGATTTTGGTTGCCTAAACAGGCCAGGAAAGCATTTCCCTCAATTTACAACCGGGAAGTGTGTACGACCCTAGTATGCAAGAAAATAACAAAAAATAAATATCCAAATTATCAAAAAATAATGACAAATAAAGCATACGATGGTCGGATTTATATGACTACATATTCACCAATTTTCAAGGTGAACATTCTTATAATAAACGAGAAATTAATGTGCAAAAAATATCACCGCGATTTCCACAGGAAATATATCAATCATAACAGACCGAATATTATATTCGGTCTGTTGGATACATACTACTTCAGCAAATCCACCTGTCATTTATTTATGTCCCCAACTGTACTAGTCTATAGACTCCAGTAATGTTTTCATTACTTTTCTAGAATATCAGTACAAATGTACTATTTCCAACTTATGGTGATAAAATTACCACACTATTTATTATGTGCACATCACAACTTACCTTGATTTCGGGTTAAATATGCGATTGCAGTTAGTAAAACAAATCGAAATTTCAAAAGTGGAAAACTCAACCGGAAGTTTCATGTGCAACATGACACAAATCAAACAAACTAGGCCTAAGTAATATATTTTAAATCAAAGAGTTCAACTTATTTTCTCTTTTAGAATCTAAGAAGACAATTGGAATTATATCATTCTGAAAATAAATATTTTGTAATCGGGCTATGATGATAAAAATATGTACAACACAGAAGTACAAGATATTAATACTTTTTATTGTTTGTCATGTATTACGAGCGCCATTTTTAAATTTAAAACTGGCAGAACTGAAGAAGAACTGAAAGAAGTACCGTAGTCTAAAAGCATCATTTAGTTATACTATTATAGACTTAAACTGTAGATTAATAGGTGAGGTATGTTCGATTTCTGAATATTGTTGTTTATACCAATTTGCCCTATACTAACACTGAACACCATTTGTGAGACTAAGCTTAGGCTAAGTTCTTCGCCAGCTAAAATGTCACTCGACTTTTTGGCAATTAAAAGTCCCTGCCTGCATTTAGTAGTCATATATTGTAATGTGCATAATTTTGAAACCATATTTTGGTTATATAGTTTATATGATTTCCCTGGATGACTGGTTATAAGATTAATTAGAGGTATCACGGAACAGAACACAGATTGAGAATTTCGGTTCGGTTCCAGAACAAGAACATTTTACCCTTTCACAACTTTCGGCCCTTGAATCGCCACAAAACAGCATTTTTCTTTCAATATTTTGCACCAAAAGAGGTTCATTCTTTTCACTCCTTCTCATTGAAGAGTTTTGAAGAGCTTTTCGCTACCAAATAGACCTAGATGATCAGATTATTTTAATTTTGAACCTGCAGTCACTCTGTTCCAAACTGTTCCAAAATTGTTCCGTTCTGAAGCAAAATGTTCCGAACGGAACCGTTCCATTCTTTTTGTTCTATGACATCTCTAACTGCTAAGATTATTATGGGATAGATTTTCTGCAAATGTGTACGGCTACTGTAGCAAGTTCATTATGATTGGGGAGGGCTTCTCATTTTGTGTCACAGATATTGGCCAGATTGTTTTGTAGTAGGATCTCATAGGCCCAAAGAATAATTCACAAGATATGACACTAAATTGGAAAAATTAAAAAAAATATGACCACCTTTTAAAAATGTTCCTTATACAAAATGGTACCTGCTTCCCCATGACAGATTTTGAACTTATTTTAGAGCTGAGACCTTCATCTTCCTATTTCTACTTGTTTGGTTCGAGTAAATAACCTATGGATGCAGTTATTTGACTTTTAATATGGCGAATATTTTTCACGAGATCCGGACTCTTGTGTGTCCAAATATCATTGTAATGATGACGTCACATTTCTGGAACCACGGGAGCACCATTCAGATTTGGACAGACAAGAGTCCGGCAATAAATTATCACTGTTTTGGCCTACTATCAACGCAGCATTGCTTGAATAACGGTCATTGGTGATAAAAAAGTTAAAGAATAACAAGATGCTTCGAATGAGGTATGATTTGTCTCATATTTTTCAGAAATGGCTCCATAATCGTCATTTTAAAATTTGAAATTTTCTGAGGTGTCTCATCTTGAGGAATATTTATTGAGCTACTGATCCTACTACAAAATAATCTGGCCGGGATCTATGTTTTGTGTCAGCTACATGTAACATGTACTTCAGAAGTGTTTTGATCAATCTTTTTGTTGCCATTAGGAAAATGCTCATCCGATTTCTACATTTCAATTTCAGTGTTGTTATTTAGTTCATGACATGTTCCTTGTTAGATTGTACATTACATTTTATTTTACTATTAGAGAAATGTCTACCTTAGCCATTATATTCAGTTCACAAATTAATGAAGATGGTCAAGATGTGGCTTTCAAAACCTCTCCACCATATAAGCCTAGTTCCCATTGTATTATTGTTGATTTGCTTTACAATACCACTGAAACCATTCCACTATATATTATAAGCCCAGTTCCCATTGTATTACTGTTGATTTGCTTTACAGCCACTGCAACCACTCCACCATATAAGCCTAGTTCCCATTGTATTACTGTTGATTTGCTTTACAATACCACTGAAACCACTCCAGCATATAAGCCCAGTTCCCATTGTATTACTGTTGATTTGCTTTACAATACCACTGAAACCACTCCACCATATAAGCCCAGTTCCCATTGTATTACTGTTGATTTGCTTTACAATACCACTGAAACTACTCCACCATATAAGCCCAGTTCCCATTGTTATAATGTTGATTTGCTTTACAATACCACTGAAACCACTCCAGCATATAAGCCCAGTTCCCATTGTATTACTATTGATTTGCTTTACAATACCACTGAAACCACTCCACCATATAAGCCCAGTTCCCATTGTTATAATGTTGATTTGCTTTACAATACCACTGAAACCACTCCAGCATATAAGCCCAGTTCCCATTGTATTACTGTTGATTTGCTTTACAATACCACTGAAACCACTCCACCATATAAGCCATGTTCCCATTGTATTACTGTTGATTTGCTTTACAATACCACTGAAACCACTCCACCATATAAGCCCAGTTCCCATTGTTATAATGTTGATTTGCTTTACAATACCACTGAAACCATTCCACCATATAAGCCCAGTTTCCATTGTATTACTGTTGATTTGCTTTACAGCCACTGCAACCACTCCACCATATAAGCCCAGTGCCCATTGTATTACTGTTGATTTGCTTTACAATAGCACTGAAACCACTCCACCATATAAGCCCAGTTCCCATTGTATTACTGTTGATTTGCTTTACAATACCACTGAAACCACTCCACCATATAAGCCCAGTTCCCATTGTATTACTGTTGATTTGCTTTACAATACCACTGAAACCACTCCACCATATAAGCCCAGTTCCCATTGTATTACTGTTGATTTGCTTTACAATACCACTGAAACCACTCCACCATATAAGCCCAGTTCTCATTGTATTACTGTTGATTTGCTTTACAACACCACTGAAACCACTCCACCATATAAGCCCAGTTCCCATTGTATTAATGTTGATTTGCTTCACAATACCACTGAAACCACTCCACCATATAAGCCCAGTTCCTATTGTATTAATGTTGATTTGCTTTACAATACCACTGAAACCATTCCACCATATAAGCCTTGTTCCCATTGTATTACTGTTGATTTGCTTTACAATACCACTGAAACCACTCCACCATATAAGCCCAGTTCCTATTGTATAACTGTTGATTTGCTTTACAATACCACTGAAACCATTCCACCATATAAGCCCAGTTCTCATTGTATTACTGTTGATTTGCTTTACAATACCACTGAAACCACTCCACCATATAAGCCCAGTTCCTATTGTATTAATGTTGATTTGCTTCACAATACCACTGAAACCACTCCACCATATAAGCCCAGTTCCTATTGTATTAATGTTGATTTGCTTTACAATACCACTGAAACCATTCCGCCATATAAGCCTTGTTCCCATTGTATTACTGTTGATTTGCTTTACAATACCACTGAAACCACTCCACCATATAAGCCCAGTTCCTATTGTATAACTGTTGATTTGCTTTACAATACCACTGAAACCATTCCACCATATAAGCCCAGTTCCCATTGTATTACTGTTGATTTGCTTTACAATACCACTGAAACCACTCCAGCATATAAGCCCAGTTCCCATTGTATTACTGTTCATTTGCTTTACAATACCACTGAAACCACTCCACCATATAAGCCCAGTTCCCATTGTATTACTGTTGATTTGCTTTACAATACCACTGAAACTACTCCACCATATAAGCCCAGTTCCCATTGTAATACATGTACTGTTGATTTGCTTTACAATACCACTGAAACTACTCCACCATATAAGCCCAGTTCCCATTGTAATACTGTTGATTTGCTTTATAATTCCATTGAAACCACTCCACCATATAAGCCCAGTTCCCATTGTATTACTGTTGATTGCTTTATAATTCCACTGAAACCACTCCACCATATAAGCCCAGTTCCCATTGTATAACTGTTGATTTGCTTTACAGAGGCAGTGAAGCATGGAGGCAGACTTGTGCTGTAACTTTAAAAAATGCCGGAAAAGATTGAATACTTTTGCTTGGATAACATCCTGCTCTCACATTTTCTGTGATGAAGATGGAACAAGGGAGTTCAACAAAGCATTCACTTGTCCTGCATGTCAAACCAGTCTCTCAGGTATTATATTTATTCATTATTTAGTACTTAAAGGAGCAATATGCTTTCATTTCACCGTTACACCTTTCAAATACTGTATTTGTCATTCTTAACATGTTTCTTCAGGTTGGATTATTAAAGCACAAAACTATTTTCTTCTTTTCACAACCTTTCCTGTGATGTTAAAATAAAGGTTGTGAAAAGAAGAAAATAGTTAAAATAAAGGTTGTGAAAATAAGAAAATAGTTAAAATAAAGGTTGTGAAAATAAGAAAATAGTTAAAATAAAGGTTGTGAAAAGAAGAAAATAGTTTTGTGACTGTATTTTTCTTTAATTTGGTGCTACTTTATTTGGCAATTTTCTGTTTTTGGGCCTATTAGCATCTATTTAATTTGGCCGTTTTTTAAGTGTCCCAGACATCCTCCCATCCATAAATTTCTTCAATATTTTTTGTTGTTTCTATTTTAAACAGCCCAGTCATCTTGGTATCTTTTTTTTATAACCGGAAGTGCAACGACTGAAAAACATGTCATATTCCCAGGGATTTTGGCAACTACAGGATGTTCCATATGTTTCAGGAATGATGCTGTGTTTTATTGGTTTTCTTTTCAATCTATCTGAATTTTTGGCACAATGTGTCTAAACATGTTTTGAATAAGTTGGGAAAGTTTCATATCTTGAAGTTCAGTCGTCTTAATTATATGGTTGCTATAGTAACCTAGGGGTAGGGTAGGTGGAGCAGGTGTAACAACGCGCAAAATATATGAAATATTTGTAAAGGTAGTTTTTTTGTAGGAAGTGTGACTAAGTATTAGGTTGTCAGAGTTGTATCAAACTTGTCAGTAATTAAACAAAAATGAAGGTGGATTCCAAGAAAGTAAAGAATGTCGTCACCCTTGATCACATCACAATTTAAACATCTGTCATGTCATGAGTCACAAAGGAGAATAAACACCGGTCATTTTGGACGAGCAGCCATCTTGAAAAGTGAAAAGGTCATTAGCAAAGGAAAACCTTTGACTTAGGCAACACACAACAACCTGTGACAAGACATGATCATGTGTGAATAACAGTTTTCTGCAGCAGACACAATTAAACTCCTGACGAATGCACATGGGGACTCAATGATGGTAACCTCTAGAGTGTATGAGTGGTACAAGCGGTTCAAATCTGGAAGGGAACCTGAGACCGATTATCCAAAATGTGGACATCCGAGAACAATGAGAGCGCTAACTAATGCGGAAGGGATAGATGCTGAAATAACGATGATGGCTAATAAAGGGTGTGATAACATTTTTAATTTCCAGGCATCCACCTTTATTCTTTTTAATTTCCAACAAATTTGATGCGACTATGACAAATTAATACTTTGAACACTTAATACAAAAACTACTATTTTTTTTACAAAAATGTCATGTTTTGCGCGTTGTTTCACCTGCTCCACCTACCCTACCCCTAGGTTACTACAGCAACCATATTATTTAGTCTACTGAGTTTCATGATATGAAACTTTTCCAACTTATTCACAACATATTTGGACACATTTTGTCAAAATATCAGCTAGATTGAACAGAAAACCAATAAAATACAGCATCATTCCTGAAACATATGGAACACCCTGTATTTAATTTGGCGATTTTTTATTGCCAATTTAAAACACTCGCCAAATTAAAGACGAATAGAGTATTGACCTTTAACCTTTCAAAGAATCTTGTCCTTAATCTTTACATACATGTACGATTTACACACTAGAAATTACATTCATTTTCATTTGAGATGACACTTCCTGCAAAGTGTGACCTTGACCCAAGATGATCTAAATGTTGCTAGGGACACATATCTCTTTGACCTTTCTGATAATCTAATAACTGTCAACTAATATTATCCTGAATATTTGATTATAATAATTATATAATCTATAGTATTGATTAGCCTTTGACCTTGGATCTTAAAGGTCTTCCTGTATTGCTTCATAAATCGTGGTAATTAGCACTTAATTATAGTTTAAGATGACTCCTGAATTATGTTACTGTACATACATTGTTATGAATATTATTTGAATGATTCATAAAATATATTTTCAAATCTCTGCATTATTTTTCAGGTAAACTTGATATCATTCGGATTGACCTGCAACCTTCAGAGCAATACAAGTCAATGGTGCTGTCTGGATTAAAGCCTGAAACTATAATGGAGATCTGCACCAGATCAATGGCATTCTGGACATACCAGTCCCATCAGGAGAGAGCCTATCAGGAGTATGTGGCTAAAAAGTCAAAAGATCGTATTTCTCAATTGGAGCAATGCTATGAAACACTTGCAAATAAGTCATCAGCTGAAATCCAAGCATTAAAGCTCCAAATATCGAGTAATCGTAAGGAGCTTGATTCAACGAAAACACAATACCAAACAGCCTCTGAGAAATTTTTGGAAAAATCACGACAGTATCAGAAGCTTCAAGCCCTCTATGATGCTTTGCGTAGGAAAAGTATCAATCCATCTCATTTTGAAAATCAGATGGATATGAGCTATAATGATGAGCGTTCATTCAACACAAGCATTGGTTCGGGTGGGGATGGATTTACAAGACAAACTGATAGGAGACATTCCACATCTCCACCTGAGAGGGACTTTGTCCTGCAACCAAGGAGTACACCTTTAATCTCACGGCAAAGATCATCAGTTGAGAATTTACAGCAACAATTTGGATTGGATCTTCTGTCTTCCACAAGTGTTGATAGGGGGAGCGATTCCAACCCTTAAAGACTGCATAGTCAATTTGATTGTTGGATGTCATGCTCTTGCCACTATACCCCGATTGGCTAAGAATATAAAACTTAATAATCTACATACAATATTTGTTTACAAGTAGAATATATGCGTACAGCTTGAACAAAAATGCAACCCTCAATCAATGTTTATAATATTAATTCACCTAGGGGAAACTTAATCTCACATTGGTGAGCGTTTTAAATTGGCGAATTAAAAAAATCGCGAATTAAATGGTGGCCAAAATATATGACATGTTTTTTGTTCAATGCCCTTCCAGTTGTTAAGAAAGATACCAAAATGGAAATAAGAAATATTGAACAAATTAATTAAAACATTAAGAAATATTGTTCATCAACAATACTGACAATGAGTATAATGAATTGGTTGGGTTGGACGAGAGGATGTCTTGGACACTTGAAAAAAGTTTCATAGATAGCCTAAAATGTGTACACCCAAAAGTACACTCATCAAAACATTAATATCATTTTCTCATAAATTCATAAGATCATAAATAAATTCAATGTAGCTTGTAGTTCGGTTAGGAGCAAACCCGAGAGGAAAATGCTTTTACTGTTATGAAGACTGGCTTAATGGCAATGTCTAAATAATTGAAAAAACTACATCATCCTGGTAGAGGATTGCATTTTTGGGGCCACTCAGTACATTCATTTGTTAGTATTTTAAACTTATTTTTATGTATGTTCAATAAAAATTTGAATTTTTGATGTTCACTTATAATGGAGTTGTATGTAATTATATTATCCTCTGAGGGAGCATTTCATAGATTGGTATCGGAAAAGTATTTTCACAGAAATAACGATTTGAATATTGTACTCCCCGTATTTTATAGTGTGAGATTTAGTTTCACGCTTTTCGCGATTGTGGTAAAATCGCGGTACTTATTTTTAAATTTAATAGCCGCAAAATTGTGTTTTTACAAAATTCACTGAATACTTGCAAAATTAACTGGGAGTTCAGTAGTTATGATTATATTATATGTTGCGTTAGATACAGTGACTTTCGAAATAACGCATATCAACATTACTCGAAGACAGCTATGAGGGGGAGGGAGGGGGTCACAGATTAACTGTGCAAATACAGTTACGGTAATAATCCTACATTGAACTTTTGAGGTGCTCCCTTAAAGTTTGAAACTAGATTTTCCGTTAAGTACTTGTATATTTTTGAGCTCATCAAAACACTCAATGGTCTGTCCTCTTATCTGTCCCTTCTATCCATCTTATAGTAGTGAATGTCATCTGTCTTGTGACCATTGTTTTGTGTGAGGGTGGTTTGATTTGCCTGCACTACAGGATTATGAGTACACTTTTAACATATTTTTAGACTATATCTCTGTGAAACTTGTCCTGTACCATCAATGTGTAGAAGTGATATAAAATATTTTATTCATTTACAATTTTGTGTCTCAAAGAATTTTTTTCAGTTTCAGGCTACACAACTAAATTAATGAGTGTCTATATTTTCTATTGACACACTATTTTCTGAGACATAAAAGTGCAAATTTCTCTAACAAGGACCTGCATAAAAGAAATATTTCATGAAATATATGAGATACATGTATATGGTCTAAAAATATGATAAAAGTGTACTTACATGTACACGTTTCCGTGGGGCTATTTGAAAGACAATGTGTACCACAAGAACACAAATGTGTACAAAATGTCCCCATCAATGGGTGATCCCATCAAATGGTTATCCTGAAAATGAGTAGACAAGACTTTACCAACACAATTTGAGGACGGAAAATCGAAAATGGCCACCTTAAAATTTACCCAGAATGCCAAAAATTTAGTCAGTTCTAGATTTTCAAACTAAGAACCACCCCTGAAAATTTTAAATTGATCTGTAACACAGTTCACCAGAAAACATGTAAACAAGACTTTACAGACAAGATTTAAGGATGGAAAATCCAAAAATGGCTGCGTTGACATTTACCCAAAATGTCAAAAAACTAATCTGTTTCTAGATTTTCATACTAAGAATCATCCCTGAAAATATGACATTGATCTACCAAATGGTTAACCTGAAAACGCGTAGACAAGACTTTACAGACAAGATTTTAGGACAGAAAATCCAAAATGGCTGCCTTGACATTTACACAGAATGCCAAAAAACTAATCAGATGTAGATTTTCACACTAGGAATCATCCCTGAAAATTTGAAATTGATCTACCAAACGATTCACCTAAAAAAGCGTAGACAAGACTTTACAGGCAAGATTTTAAGACGGAAAATCCAAAATGGCTGCCTTGACATTTATCCAGAATGCCAAAAAACTACTAAGATGTAGATTTTCATACTAAGAATCATCCCTGAAAATTTGAAATTGATCTACAGAACGGTTCACCTGGAAATGTGTAGACAAGACTTTACAGACAAGATTTTAGGACGGAAAATCCAAAATGGCTGCCTTGACATTTACCCAGAATGCCAAAAAACTAATCAGTTCTACATTTTCATACTAAGAATCATCCCTGAAAATTTGAAATTGATCTACCAAACGGTTCACTTGAAAACGCGTAGACAAGACTTTACAGACAAGATTTTAGGACGGAAAAATCCAAAATGGCTGACAATAAAAAAGTGATTATGAGTTTTTGCTGATTTCTTTTTACAAAATTATCACATGTAAGTACTGTTAACAATAACATAAGCTTTTACAACAAAGTACATCTGAAATTATGTATAAAGCTACTAAATAGTTAAAGTATGAAAACTCAAAAACACCATTCAATATGATACAAAGTATATCGTGCGCTAACTTTTCTTAAGACATTCAAGATGGCTGACATGACTGAGCTAACAGGTCCAAAACCTAATCAGATCTAGAATGAAGTGAGCTGAACAAGATGTTAAAGTTTTAAAAGCAACTGTGAAGCAGTTTTTCTTCAAGTTTGCAGACAAGGATTTTAGCATTTGAGTTCAAAATTGCCGACAGGAAGTAGGTATCGAGTTAAATTTTTTTCATCCACATCAGTATGCACTCCTAAGTTATCCCTGAAAATTTGAAGGTGATATCTGTAGCGGTTTTGGAGAAAAGTCCCGGATGTACGGATGGACAGACGGACGGACAGACGGACGGACGGACGGACAGACAGATGGACGCGCCTAGGCCGACAATATGGCCCCACACTATGTGGTGGGGATGTAAAAACAATCCTCAGACAATTTCTGACCTTAAGAAGGCAATAACTGCTATATGTAATGTCAAAACAAGGACTGAACATGAAAGAGTATTTTGACATATGAATGCAGCATACGAGGGGTGATCAATAAGTAATGGACGCTTTTTTACACAGATGCTGTTTATAGACCAATCCCTTCGATTTTCTTACCAGTGATTCATCATTCAATTATCTATCAACTCTGAAGATTTGAAGACATTATATATATTACATGTTGATATATCCTTATTTCCGTGAAGGAGGTACAGGTACCCCGGGACCGACATTTACGTCACATATTCTGAGGCTATTTAAGATTGTTTAACATGCAATGCAGTTGAATGCAGGCTGAATAAAACGAACCATTATGGTCATGAATTATCCCATTTTGTTATGCCATAGTTGATTTTGAATATTTTATCATCACTAGGTGGTATTCATGCCACATTCATTCCACAGGCCCCTCTAAATAGGTTCCATCAAGTGCTACATGTACACAATTCTTCATCCTCTTAACTCAAGATTGTGAGACAAGGCTGAATCAATTCTCTAACATGGTAGCAAGATGCAGTTGCAGGGGTTGTTTTATTTCATCAATGTCAATAAACGTCCATTCCATGCGTCCATTCTCTATAGGAATAAGTAGTATAGAAATAAACAAGTCACATGTGAGCAGATCTGGACAATATGGTGCATTGGCCAAGGGCTCAATTTTGAGGTCCAGGGATATTGTTTTCTGAACTTTTTGAGACCTGTGGGCAGGTGCATTGTCCATATGGGGTAGGGTGTTCCCTTCTCTCACCACCCCCTTCTTCCACAATGCTTTCTCAAATTGACCTGCAAACCCCTTCCATACAACACTCTGACATTACAATACTTTCTGTTTATGTGTTACAAGTCAGCAAAAAATTTTAAACAACACAACATGTGTTGCATATAAAACGTTCAAATGTAACTGAAATTTACCAAACTGGCTAAAAACTGAATATGTGACGTAAATGTCGGTCCCGGGGTACCTGTACCTCCTTCACGGAAATAAAGATATATCAATATGTATTATATATTTTGTCTTCAAATCTTCAGAATTGATAGATAATTGAATGATGTATCACTGGTAGGAAAATCAAAGGGATTGGTCTATAAAAAGTATCTGTGTAAAAAAGCGTCCATTACTTATTGATCACCCCTCGTAAGATACCTTTTTATCTGAACTCTTAGAAAATAAAAATAAATCAATGCGCTTCTCTAGAAATATGTTTTTGAGACCTTTTCCACTCATGAGAATGACGGAATAATGCAACTAATTCGTAAAAAATTCTTAAAATATATTTCTGGTGGAGCGCCCATTGATTTCTTTACGAAAACTAAGACTATTTTGCTCGCACAGTAATGGGAAAGTTATTGATTTTAAGCAAAATGTAACGGTTAAATATGGAAAATTGAATTTTATCGCTTCACAAAAAACATTCTACAAACACAAGTTCTAATAATTCGAAGAAAATATATCAGGATGTATAAATTCACCTCATTTCTAAAAGTATATTAAATTTCATGATGATCACTTCCAGAATGAAATAGTTGTGTCCTTCAAAAAAGGTCTCCTTATCGGGGGTTCTCCTTTGGAAGATTTATTTTTCTAGAGAAAAGTTACAACTGAAATGCCAAATAAATAGGCGCAGTGCATGAAAAAATATGTAGGTCTTCTAGTATTTTTTTTGAACTGATACGCTTCTAAGATATGAAATCTATTAAAAAAGGTGCATCATCACCAACTTGCAAAAGTCAATGTTT